CTTTCTGGAAAACAGATGACATTAATGCCTTTCCTATCTTAGTGTGCTGTGCACACACGTACTAAAAGAGAGAGATTGCAGAAGTTGTGGGAGAAGGACAACTTTAAAATGCCAAGAAGTGAACTAGAAGGAAGAAACATGGGTGAGACCTTAGAATAGAGCAGCTTCAGGACCTGTTGGCGGCGGCATAAAATGAGGCCAGGGCACAGGTTGCCCAGCTGTGCATTCAAACAATTCTAAATGTATACTAAGTCTTACAGGACTTCTTGTGCAAAAGCTTATAGAAAGTATTAATTTTAGAATGAATGATTTTAGAGTGTTGTTTATGCGGAACTTTTGTACTGTTTATTGTTGTTAGCCGCCCTGAGCCCGGCTAAGGCTGGGGAGGGCGGGATATAAATAAAATTTATTATTATTATTATTATTATTATTATTATTATTATTATTGGATCAGAAATCCTAATTCTGCTACAAGCATTGTTCATATATATCTTCAACTTTATACAGTGCATCCAGTGCTTTCCTCTGGTATCACTGCCCTAGGATAGCTGCATTCATTGACCTAACAACAGCCATGATCTCTATTCTCTTTTAGGCATTTCTGCCCCTGCTGAAGATGGCAGCTCAGAGATATCCCCAGGAAGGGCTGAGCTGCTGCAAGGCAGCCATTATCAATACATCCAGTGCTGCAGGCTCCATGGAAGTTATGCTGGCATGGGAAAGAAAGATGACTGTTGCCTATCGCTGCAGTAAGGTACCTTATGTGAAATCCATGTGCAACCGTCTCCAACCTCCTCTGCCCTGCTGCAACTATCTTTCCAAATGATAGCTGTATGTGTGAATCTGGGCAATAAGAGCGTATTACCCACAGATAAATGTTGAGAGACAAACTTTTGTTGTGAGGATGTTGCATTTTCTAAAACTGTGGATGGCATTAAGGGAAGATACCAGGATGTTTTCTACAAATAAACAGCATGTGTACAGTCTTTTTCTTCTTGCGGAACTTAAAACCAACATCTAAAGCTAGATATCAGCAAAATGATGCAGCCCACAAGCATGGGGAACACTCACAAATGCCTGTCAAAAATCTTGTTCAAGAGTGGTGTCCATGATAGATAACTTCCAAGTTGCTAGTTTTTGTGTCAGGAATGCTCAATGATGTCCAATTTTTCTTACAAACCTCTCTGCCTCCAAATCCTTTCTAGCCACCTAGCAGTAATTCATATTAAGCAGCTCCCCACAGTTCAATGCACCCTCTGCTCATGGTTTGTTTTTTCTCCCTTGCAGGCTGCTTTAAACATGCTCACCAAATGCCAGTCACTCACGTATCCAGCTTATGGGATTCTGTGTGTTTGCATCCATCCTGGCTGGGTGAAAACTCAACTCAATTCCGTAAGTGCTTTTGGTAATAATGGAAAAGGTGGGCAGCCCTATAGGACTAGCAAACATAGTCCTCTGAGGCCTTGCAGTGAACTGCTATCCTTTGGCATGTATGACCACTTGGTTGTCTTTCATAAAGCAATGTTTAATGTGCAGACTGAAATCTTATAACCAAGACATCCAACAGCATCTAGGCCTTCTGCTATTTGATGCTCAAGAATGACTTTTTCCGAACTTAATAAATCCTTCACTTACAATATTTTTCTTCACAGGAGGCGGACCTGACTGTTGAAGAGAGTACACGAGGAATAATTCATGTTCTCTCCACACTTTCTGAGGTGGATAACGGTACCTTTGTGGACTGGGAAGGACGCAGAGTACCCTGGTGAGGAATTTGTTTCACGATGCCAGGGGGTTTACCACTCTAGGATTCTGCCTAGAGAGCATCCAATAAACTGCCTGGGATTCAAGGAAAATGTTTCTGACTCTCTTCTTCCTTCAGAAGGTTCCATTGAAGACTAGTTTTCACGCAGAATTGTTTTTAAGGACTAGCCATGGATTGAAAGAACTTTCACTCTGCGGGTCACATTCCCTCAGGAGCCCCCTTATGGGGGCTGGATGCCAATGCCAGGTGGGTGTGGGTGGCACTGGCGAGACAAAGGCAAAAGTGGGCAGGGCAAGGTTGTGAATATTACCTTCCATGGAAGCTACATACAAAGGCCAGAGGTATTTAGTGCGTGCAACTCACTGTTGTAGGACCAGGGGGTTGGTTTGGATTATGTGTTTAGGTCCCCTCCAAAGCCTGTGGTTCTTTATCTGGATGATGGGAGCCTGTAGTAGGAGCTGAAGTGCCTGAACCAGTTTCTTTGTAAAAGATCAACCTGACCCTGCTCAGCATCCTTTTATATGCCTAAAGACTTGAGCAAGTATGGGCGTGTTGTCATAGAAAAAGGAGCTAGTACTGTCTCTATAAGGAAGGGTAGCCAGATCTCACACACGTGGCTGAACTCATCATCCTGGAGGCAAGAGAACAGTAGGTCAGAGGCTGGCCTTTGTCTTGTCTGCAGCTGGGAAGACACAGAGGCTTGACTTCCTCTCAGAGCTGAAACCACACCTTTGGGGGATCTCCCTAGGGACCTGATGGAGGAGCAAGATCTGATGTAGCAGTGATGCTGTGAGCCCTTCATCTTGTGCTCTGGTTGTGTATATGTGCATACCCTCCAACATTTATCTGATGAAATAGAGACGTCCTATTCCATACTACTATTAATTCGTTATACCCTGCCCATCTGACCTGGTTGCTCCAGCCACTCTGGGCGGCTTGCAACATATATAAAAACATGATAAAACATTAAACTTTAAAAAAATACTTCCCTACACAGGGCTGTCTTCAGTTGTCTTCTAAAGGTTGTACAGTGGTACCTCGGGTTACATACGCTTCAGGTTACAGACTCCGCTAACCCAGAAATAGTAACTCAGGTTAAGAATTTTGCTTCAGGATGAGTATAGAAATCATGCTCCGGCAGCGCGGCAGCAGCAGCAGGCCCCATTAGCTAAAGTGGTGCTTCAGGTTAAGAACAGTTTCAGGTTAAGAACGGACCTCCAGAATGAATTAAGTTCTTAACCCAAGGTACCACTGTACTGTATAGTTACTTATCTCCTTGGCTCGGGGGTCACATAACTCCATACCCTCCCATCATTTCTCTGATGTTTCTAGAAGGAAGTGTACCCAGATCTCACCACATCATCCTAGAGGCAAGAGAACAGTAGGTCAGAGGCTAGCCTTTGTCAAGTATGCAGCTGAGAAGACACAGAGGTTTGACTTGCTCATGGTGGGATGAAACCAAACCTTTGGGGGATCTCCCTGGAAGTCTAATGGAGGAGCAAGTTCTGATGTAGTAGTGATGCTATGAGCTTTTCATCTTGTGCTCTGGTTGTGTGTGTGGGTAAATAAAACCATATATCAAAAAGACACCAGTCTTCAAAAATACTCATTCGAAGGAAACCAGACCAGAGGGAAGCACTGGCTGCCTTAAGTCTCTCACTAGCCTTAGACTGGGGTGAATGTAACGTACTGTATCTTCTGTCCAGGCAGGGGAGAGCTATCACCACTCTTCAAGAACACATTGCAGCCTGGAGAAAGCACTTGAGGTTGTGCAGCAGAGTCAGAGAAGGATGTGGAGGGCCACATTTGGTACTCAGAACTCAGGTTGCTCACCTCTGCCATAGGTGAAAAGGAATTGCATACATGTGAAGGAAGCCCCCCTCTTTCACATACAGCATAAAAACACAACAGGCTTTCCGCCCCCTTTAGCCAGTCCCCTCAGGTTAGTATAAAAAAGAAAAAATGCATTCTGGTAACTTTTGAAGCTTGTTGACAAGGTTGAAATAATACATTCCCTAGCAGCATGAAATGCTTATTTTATTACATTTCTATTACACCCTTTCACTAATGAACTTAGGATATGTCATCATTTACTCCAGCACCCCTGTTGTTGTTGTTGTTCTTTTTTAAAAAATCTTCACAACAGCCCTGCAAAGTAGAATAGCCTGGAACAACTCCAGCACATAGCATCCTCGGGCAGTTGCCAGAAGTCCAGCACTCCAGCAAGGCCCACTACAGACACCTGTCTTAGGTCCCTCCACCCCACACTGTGCAAGCCACCATTTACATTTTCTAATCTGTTTCTGACATAGCATCACTGTTGAGTAATGCAGGCAATTGCGGAGGCAGCTACACCCAGGCACTACTTTCCCTGCCCACTTCCACCAACCACTTTATTTATTTATTTGTTGAATTCATAGCCCACCTTTTCCTCCAAGGAGATTGAGGTCCACACCCTCGTTGAATCCCTACCACGACCTTGCCGAGGTTGGTTAGGCTGAAAGGCAGCGGCTGGCCCAAGGCCACCCGGCGAGCTTCGTGGCCGAGTGGGGATTCGAACGCCTGTTCTGCAGGACCGCGTTCAAGCCAAGTGAAAGAATCGGCACTGCGCCTTTAAGAGGGAGCCGGCAACGTCGCCACCCCCGCCTCCTCCCCGGCCCCTCGCGCTTGCGCAAGAAGGAAAAGCCCGATAGGTGGGAGGGGGAGAGAAATGTGACCTAGGCGGCCGGTACCTCGGGCAGTGCGCGAGAAGGCGTGCGCGCGCACTTGTAGCACGCAAGAGAGAGAGAGAGAGAGACCAAGAGGCGCTGAGGCCCTCAGGTGAGGTGAGGTGAAGGGAGGGGGGGCGGACGTAGATGTTCCTTACTCCTCCCTCCATCCGTCATCATCATCATCATCATCACCACCACCTTCCTCCATGGGAAAGCGGGAGCGTCTGGAATCTGACTCTGAGACGAAAATGAACGCGGGGGGTGTGTATGATCGTGAAAGGCGTGGAAAGGAAGGGAAGGAAGGGCGGGGCAGAAGCCGCGCTATTCAAGGCGGGGGGCAAGTGGGGTAGGTGAGGTCCCTGCACGAGGGGGAAGGGCTTCTTGTTGGCGCGCGCGCACACACACACACACACGTGTTCCTTTATGCTAGGTGACAGACGACCTTGCGGACCCGTGTTGGTCTGCAGCCCAAGCAACAGTGAGTCTATTGGCGCCTTAAAAAGTCTTAAGAGGTTTATTGTGGGCTGAGAGGTTGCTTCGTCCGATGCGTGAAGGATCAGGCGTGTATCGGGGCGGGGAACTCGAGGCCCTCTGAACCAGGCAGACAGTATATACAGTATGTATGAATGTGGGTGAGTGAATGAATCAAGTATCTCTATTTTTTATCATTGAAAGGCGGGCCCTGTGGCACCTTAAAGGACCCCATATTTGTCAGTCAGAATCTATTTTGTAAAAGATGCTTGAATAGTGTGTGGCGAGGTGGGTGTTTTTTTAAATATAGGTTCAGAGAAGTAAACATTGGGGCCCAAAGGCAAAGAAATGTAAGAGATATAGCCTGTAACATTTCTATACAAAGCTCAAATGTATGCAGCAGCCGTTCGTGACAGCAGTAAATGGCAATTGTGTGGGAGGGTGTGTATTGTGAAAGGAAAGGGCAGATATAAAGTGTGGAGGAAGTGAAGTGGAATATATGTGGAGGGCAGGCAGAGTGGAAAAGTTTTAATCATATTGTTCATGAATTCTCTGTTAAAGAGAATCACAGGCAATGTACAATAAAGGACTATGTAATTATTGGAGTTCAGAAGCTTAATTGGTAGTAGCTGCTTTCCATGCTTGTCACAGGTTTTGAAGAGAAGCACTTTCCATTTTTTTAAAAAGTACAATACGTACGTAAATAGGATGGGTTTGACTAGGCAGAAGCTGAAAGAACTGGCCATAAGAATAGGACTACAAGCCATGAGGGTCAGTTGCAGTGGAGTATGTGTGTAAAAATCGTGAGAGTATGGTAGGAATGGGGACAGTGTTGGAAACTGGCATATATAAGCTAGGCACCAAATGGCTCCTTAAACCAAGGTTACAGTCACCAAAACAGAATGTCTAGTCTTATTTTTCAAATGATGGACTGACTGTGACTGATTATCAGTTAAATATCTGACTAGTTCAGATGACAACCTTGAGCTAGGTTAAGAACTTTGGGAACTTAAAGAAGAAAAGTAATTTTATCCAGGGACAGTCCACATAAATATTGGCCTATTCCTACCTCTTTTTCTTAATGGTGACATGGACCATTCATAATGTATGAATGCTCTTCACAACTGTGAGCAGGGCTGTCGGGTGGGGTAAGTGAAGACAGGCTACAACAATTAACTATAACGTTGTTGACTGCTCCTGCTCAGGCTGCACAGAAAAAGCATTTTAGTTCCTGAAATTCATTATGATTGTACAGATAAAATATAACTCAGAGAATTCTACAAGATGTAGTATTAGTGCGTGAAAACAGTCCAAATCCAGTGATCCCCAGGCCTCAACAAGCACTGCTTGCTTGCTGTATGTTCTGGATATGTTTGACTGTCTGCTTGTAGGGCTGTCATATAAATAATGTGCACAGTGTTTAACAGCTTTCTTGCCAGGCAGGTTGGTAAGATTTGTGATAGGATTCATGATTGTCTAGTCTTGCTCATAATTGTGGAGCTCTATCTTGCATCTGACAGGACGCAGGTGGCGCTGTGGGTAAAACCTCAGCGCCTAGGACTTGCCAATCGCATGGTCGGCGGTTCGGATCCCCGCGGCGGGGTGAGCTCCCATCGTTCGGTCCCAGCTCCTGCCCACCTAGCAGTTTGAAAGCACTCTTAAGTGCAAGTAGATAAATAGGGACCGCTTTATAGCGGGAAGGTAAACGGCGTTTCCGTGTGCTGTGCTGGTGCTGGCTCGCCAGCTGCAGCTTCGTCACGCTGGCCATGTGACCCGGAAGTGTCTTCGGGTGGTGCCGGCTCACGGCCTCTAAAGCGAGATGAGCACGCAACCCCAGAGTTGGACACGACTGGCCCGTACGGGCAGGGGTACCTTTACCTTTATCTTGCATCTAATATACCGGTATATGGTTATTACTTTTAATATAGCTCTTATTTATATAACCCCTCAAGGAAAATTGTTACCAATGTCTTATGCCCATAAAGATTTCAAGATGATGTAAGAGCCAAAGGCCACAGCAACATGTATGGAAGGATATACCTTAAAGGCATATGAAGGCCATAAAATATATTATTCAAATGATAAAAATGAAGTGAGAATTTTGCATAGCATACTCTATTGCTGCTTATATTGTCAATAAATATACTTTCAGTATCCACTTTTTTCCTTTAAAGATAATATCAAGTGATATTAGAAAACCTGAAAATGTCCTTTTTCTTAACATTTAATAGCTTGATCCTTTGGTAATTTCCAGTGCTGCTTCAGCTTGTGTATTATATTTAAGCACCATCATTTCAGTATTTTTTGTATTTGAAAGAGTTACTTACTAGGGTAGAGGTAACTTACTAGAAAGTTTCAAACTAGAAAAACACATACTTGGATTTCCTCTGAAGGATGCAATAGATATTTTAGTAAGACATATTATATGTGAAGAATTAAAATATAAAGATGTAGTCTTAAAATGAACAGCTTCAAACAAATTTGTTTTTTTTTCCATTTAATTTTTATTGCTTACTTCAAAAAGAAAAGTAGCCAAAAAACATATATACACACACATAAACACATAAAAATAAGACTACAGTGGTACCCCGCAAGACGAATGCCTCGCAAGACGGAAAACCCGCAAGACGAAAGGGTTTTCTGTTTTGGAGGCTCTTCGCAAGACGAATTTCCCTATGGGCTTGCTTCGCAAGACGAAAGCCCATAGGGAAATCTCCGGGGACCTGTTTTAAATTGCTGGCGGTCGGGAGCAAAGACTTTCGCCCACAGCCGGCCTTCAGAAGAGGTCCTGGACCTCTTCTGAAGGCCGGCGGGGGGCAAAAGTCTTTGCTCCCCCCCGCCTGCCTTCCCGGGACAGCGGAGACTTCTCCGCTGCCCCGGGCGATCTTAAAATGCTGGCGGGCGGGAGCGAACGCTTCGCTCCCGACCCCCAGCATTTTAAAATCTTTGGGCGAGTGTCTGCAAGCCTCGCGCGCCCGGCAGGAGGTCCCGCCGGGTGCGCGAGGCTTGGGGCGGCAGCCTGTCACCCGAAGCACGGGGAGCCCTTCGGAGAGCTCCCCTTGCTTCGGGCGAGTGTCTGCAAGCCTCGCGCACCCGGCAGGAGGTCCCGCCGGGTGCGCGAGGCTTGGGGCGGCAGCCTGTCACCCGAAGCACGGGGAGCCCTTCGGAGGGCTTCCCCTGCTTCGGGCGAGTGTCTGCAAGCCTCGCGCACCCGGCAGGAGGTCCCGCCGGGTGCGCGAGGCTTGGGGCGGCAGCCTGTCGCCCGAAGCACGGGGAGCCCTCCGGAGGGCTTCCCCTGCTTCGGGCGAGTGTCTGCAAGCCTCGCGCACCCGGCAGGAGGTCCCGCCGGGTGCGCGAGGCTTGGGGCGGCAGCCTGTCACCCGAAGCACGGGGAGCCCTTCGGAGAGCTCCCCTTGCTTTGGGCGAGTGTCTGCAAGCCTCGCGCGCCCGGCAGGAGGTCCCGCCGGGTGCGCGAGGCTTGGGGCGGCAGCCTGTCGCCCGAAGCACGGGGAGCCCTCCGGAGGGCTTCCCCTGCTTCGGGCGAGTGTCTGCAAGCCTCGCGCACCCGGCAGGAGGTCCCGCCGGGTGCGCGAGGCTTGGGGCGGCAGCCTGTCGCCCGAAGCACGGGGAGCCCTCCGGAGGGCTTCCCCTGCTTCGGGCGAGTGTCAGCAAGCCTCGCGCACCCGGCAGGAGGTCCCACCGGGTGCGCGAGGCTTGGGGCGGCAGCCTGTCGCCCGAAGCACGGGGAGCCCTTCGGAGAGCTCCCCTTGCTTTGGGCGAGAAGTCTCTGCTGCCCCGGGCGATCTTAAAATGTTGGCAGGCGGGAGCGAAGCATTCGCTCCCGCCCCCCAGCATTTTAAAATCTCCCCGGGACAGCAGAGACTTCGCTCCCGCCCGCCAGCATTTTAAAATCGCCCCGGGACAGCAGGGGCTTTTAAAATGCTGGCGGTCGGCAGCAAAGCCCTCCTGTCCCCGGAGCTTGCGGGGCGGGAGGTGGGAAGAAGGGCTTTTTTTCCCACCGCCAGCCTTCAGAACAGCCTTCTGAAGGCTGGCAGTGGGGAAAAAGCCCTTGTTCCCCCCCCCCAGCCTTCAGAAGAGGTCGGGGGACAGACTGTCCCCGGACCTGGTCTGAAGGTGGTTTCCCTAGGAACGCATTAATTGATTTTCAATGCATTCCTATGGGAAACCGTGCATCGCAAGACGAAAAACTCGCAAGAAGAAAAAACTTGCGGAACGAATTAATTTCGTCTTGCGAGGCACCACTGTACACAATCATACACCTATAGAGAAAGAAAAAATAAAAATAGGAAATATATATACAGAAACTTAATTTTCACATTTACTCCTTGTTGGATTATCGCTTTCAGGACTTCCTTTAGCTTTCTCGACAATCATTCGAAGTGATACTTTAAGTTACACATTTCCTAGTATATATTGTCATTATGCTTTTTTATATATATTTCTTAATATATACTGTTCTTATACCTTATTTGTACTCCCATTAAGTTCAAACAATAACCCATACTCGATTACAGTGCATCTCTAAATCCCTTTAGCGTTATTTTCCTTTGACTGATAAGTTCCAGATAATCTACATATTTACCCCAGTCCTTGGTAAATTTTTGGGCTCTTGTATATCTTACTTTGCCTGTAAGTCTGTCCATTTCCATATAATCTAGTAGTTTAAATCTCCACTCCTCTACCGTTGGTGTTTCCTGTCTTTTCCACATCTGGGCCAGCATTACTCTTGCTGCTGTAACTGCATAGTACACTAATTTACAATCTTCTTTTTTTATCTCATGGCCTAACATGCCTAATAAGAAGAGTTCTGCCTTCTTTGAGAACGTGTATTTTAAGATCTTCTTTAATTCTATATAAATTTTCTCCCAGAACTGCTTCACTTTTCCGCACTCCCACCACATGTGGTGGAAAGAGCCCTCACTAACCCTACATTTCCAGCACTTGTTATCCACCTTGTACATCTTTGATAGTTTCATAGGTGTTAAATACCATCTATAGAACATCTTCAGTACGTTCTCCTTTATCATTGTACATGCCGTAAAATTTAATCCTTCTTTCCAAAGTCTCTCCCAGTCTTCAAATAGTATACTGTGCCCTACGTCTTGTGCCCAGCGAATCATCACACATTTGACCTCCTCATCTCCTAGACTCCAGTCTAACAGTATCCTATACATTTTCGATACAATTTTCTCTTCTTTGTTTATAATCTCCGTCTGAAACTTGGATTCCCTCTCTTCATAACCTCTTTCTTTAAGATCTTTTCTAAACATCTGGTTCACCTGGAGATGGTGTAACCAGTCATAAACATACTCTTTAACCTGCTCGTTGATGTTGAATAACCAGCCTTGAACTGCACTTGTATTAGTGTTGACTACAAATACAGTAGCCACAGATTTATGCAGAACGTATCAATGGTTCCTTTTGCTTACACTTTATTTTATTCTGTTTTAGGAATGATGTATGAAACAGGATGCCAAGAAGCTTTGTTTTTATGCCTTAGTCTTGCCCTTGGGAACTGAATTGGAAAAAGAATACAACATGAAAATGCTTCCTGGTGTTGGGGTATTTGGGACTGGGAGCTCAGCTCGGGTGCTAGTGCCTCTGCTGAGAGCTGAAGGCTTTTCCATCAAGGCACTATGGGGGAAGACTGAAGAAGAAGCAAAGCAACTAGCTGAGGAAATGAATATTTCCTTCTACACAAGTCGGACAGATGATGTCTTGCTGCACCAGGATGTGGATCTGGTTTGCATCAACATCCCTCCACCACTCACACGACAAATTGCTGTGAAAGCTTTAGGTACTGTGCTGTTGATTATCTGAAACAAGTTGTGGTTATTTCAAATTCATTCCCCCTTTAATAGATTCCCAGTTGTGTTCTCAGGCTGTTGCTGATTACTTAATATTATAAAACTGAATGCTTCATTTTGGCACAGTATGTTTTACTGTTGTTAGCCGCTCTGAACCCGGCTTCAGCTGGGGAGGGTGGGATATAAATAATTATTTATTTATTTATTTATTTATTTATTTTTTATTATTATTATTATTATTATTTTATATCATTGTCTCACGTTACATAAATTGGAGTGATACTTGACTTTCTGCCCTCTGTGATATTATTGTGCCTGTACAATTTTGGGAAGTATATTTCAACCCATAGATACTTGATTCAGTCTGACATGTGAAAAAATAATTGACACCAGGGTTTTGCTCTTCTCTTAGCACTTTAGATTTTTTAATAAGTCTCTTCCCTCCCAATAAATTTGCATAGCAATGTGTCACATACAGAACAGAAATATCTAGGGAAATGGAGGGAAGCAGGAGCTAGCCATTAAATTTAACCAGGCAGCCATAGCTAATATTACCACCCCTCCTTCCGCTTATCCCAAAAACATGTTTGTGTTTCATTCTTTTGCATTAGCTGATAGAAGGAGTGAACTCTTTTTGTTACTGTAAGGAAATTTTTAGTATTTGCTAACTTGACTTTGCTATTGTATATTAAACTAGCAGTATTGTAAAGGCAATTACAGCTAGAGCATATAGCATGATTACTTGACTTTTTATAAGTATCAAGGTCTGCATGTTTCAGAAACATAGTAAACAGGAAGTAGAAAGGTAAAAGTATCCCTTGCCTAAGTTTCCCATTCCTCAAGTACAGTTCACACAGGATGGCAGATCTCCAAAACAAAAAAATGTTTTTCTGCAGATAAGAGAGGGAATCTTACTGTGGTTAAACTAAATATCCACATATTCACAGTCCCTCAAGGATTGAGTAAAATGCACCAACGTGTTTCTTCAGCTTCACCGGCCACTGGGTGTCTGCAAATACCTTATCTTGGTACTTAATCCTTGGTGGGGCAGAGCATCTCTCTAGAGCACTGATTGCCAACCTGGTGCCCACCATTTGTTTTGCACTGCAGCTCCTATATTCTTCAAATCAGTATGGTTTTACTGGTTGGGACTGATGGGAGCTATAGTTTAAAACAGCTGGACATGGGCACCAGGTTGAAGAAACCTGATTGAATGCTTATTTTTGCAGAATATCTAGTGCCTCCCCAGCCTGGTCCCCTTCAGCTGTTTTGGACCACAACTGCCAATTCACGGCAGCACTGGCTGGGGCTGAAGGGACTTGTAGTCCCAAAACAGCTAGAGAGATGGGGTTTCTGCATTAGATGGTTGCACACATGGCGGCTAGTCATCCTTCCTTTTTCTGTACTTTATGAACTGAACAAAGATGACACTGGACAGATAAGAATCCTCTATTTGCTTGAGGCTGCCTAGCAAAATCTGAACTAAAATTTGTCTCCTTTATTCACAGGTATTGGAAAGAATGTCATCTGTGAGAAAGCTGCTACCTCTGTGGATGCTTTCAGAATGGTCACAGCTGCCAGATACTACCCCAAGCTCATGAGCATTGTAGGCAATGTCCTGCGTTTTCTACCAGCATTCATCAAGATGAAGCAGTTAATAGAAGAACACTATGTGGGCAATGTTCTGGTCTGTGATGTGCGAGTGTACTGGGGAAGCCTTCTCAGCCACAAGTACAACTGGATTTGTGATGAACTGATGGGTGGGGGTGGCCTGCACACAATGGGGACTTACATTATAGACCTCCTCACTCACCTGACAAGTCGAAAGGCAGAGAAGGTTCATGGGTTACTGAAAACCTTTGTGAAGCAGAACTCTGCCATCAATGGCATCCGCCATGTCACAAGTGATGATTTTTGCTTTTTCCAAATGCTGATGTCAGGAGGTATCTGTAGCACTGTGACTCTGAACTTCAACATGCCTGGGTCATTTGTTCATGAGGTCATGATTGTAGGGTCAGCAGGACGCCTTATAGCACGGGGGACAGATTTGTATGGCCAGAAGAACACTGCTCCCCAGGAAGAACTCCTGTTTGCAGACTCTTTGAATGTCCATGCAGGCCTTTCAGAAAAAGGATTCAAAGACATACCCCTTCTGTACCTCAAAGGGATGGTGTACCTGGTGCAAGCTCTGCGTCAGTCCTTCCAGGACCAGGAAGACCAGCGAACCTGGGATCCCAAGCCAGTTGCAATGGCGGCTTCTTTTGAAGATGGCCTCTATATGCAAAGTGTAGTAGATGCTATTAAAAAATCCAGCCGGTCTGGGGATTGGGAATCTGTGGAAGTAATGACTGAGGAGCCAGATGCCAATCAAAACCTCTGTGAGGCATTACAGAGAAATAACCTATAATAGAAATATTCCTAATGAGCAGAATATTGAATATGTGCAGAAAACTTTAACATGGATACATTTGTTTCATATTCAGGGGGTGGGAGGAGGTATAATGGGGAATTATAATTGCGGGCAAAACCTCAAAGGAAATCCTTTTGGTTTTTAAACTCATTTAAGAGCATTTTAAATGTTGCAGATTTGTGTCACTGTTTTTTTTAAAGCTAAACCTTTTGAACTTTGTATTGTTAGGAAAACTTGAATTGCCCTTTGCACTTAGAAGTAGCTAAAACGAAAAGGTGGGATTTCTACCATTGGGGACAAGTCTGTCTCCCTTCTGTGCACAGCTCATGTATTTTGCAGTTTGAATGTAGCACTAGAGATGGTTGTTTAAGAACAGGAAGACAAGTTACCCTTTAGGATTCTTCTTGATGTGGTAAAAGTGAGGCAAATACAGAAGTATGGTCCTTAAATATTTGTAGTCTCTATAGCTCAGTATCAAACTAGGTGGTGGACATGTATTTTCCTGTATCCTCCCTGTTCACACAAAACCCCACCTGTAACAGTAAAAAAAAGTGTTCAGGAAAAGGCCACTGACCTCTCCCATGCCTTCCCTTCCTCTAGTCATTTGTTTCAGCCATTTTGGTCTGTCCCTGGCTCTGATTCCAAAAGTGGGCTGGAAATGGAAAAAGTTGTTGGAGTAGTGGACTGAGAGGAAGAAAGTGTGCAAGGGGGGAGGATTGAGCATCCTCCTTCCTGCATTCCTTCTGTTATATTTTCATCCTACAGACTTCCTGCTTTACATATGAGCAGGGTTGACACACGAATGACAACCACATCCATCTAGTCTGTGCCTCGGTACCGAATACTTCCAATTTAGTCTCTGCCTTTGAGACTAGCTGTTCTAGAAGTCAGTTGAGTGCTGTGTGGCATTCACCTGCTGTTTGCACGTGTTGGTGCTCCTTTCCCATAGCAGAGACTGAAGGCCTCTTGCACTTCTTTTCCTGCATTCTCTCTTGCCCTGCTCAGTGCTGCCAAATGCCGCCAATGATTGCTTGGTAGCACAGAAGCCAAATCTAAGTCAGTGATTGTTGTTTAATGAAGCAGGTATTCCATCTGTTAAGGAATATGAAGTTGATAAGAAAAGGAATATTCAGTTGCTGTTTTCAGCTGCATGCTGACAGGGGTAGTTGATTTAATCGAACACCGGACGATGTTCCCTATCCCTTGTCCTGACTTGTATCCTGTGGGAGCTGTGGTGCTTCTTGCGTAGCAGATCATAGTGCACAACTACCAGATCTCAGAGCTGCTCTTCACTAGGCTGACACTGAGAAGCAGTAGCTAATTTTTGTATAAATAATACTGTTTACTTGAATGTTTTTATTGTTTTCCTACTTCGTTTCCCTACTAGGTTTTAATCCTGTACATTAATATAAAGCATTAATAAGCAACCTTTCTTGTGTTTTTGTAAATGGTAACATTATGGAAGAAAAACTAAAAATAGATAAAATCAAGAACTAGATCAGCTGTTTTTCTCTTCCCTGTGGAAAACACCCTATTTTTTCTATTCTGAGCTTTTAAATTTATTTTTAACCCAAACAGCTGTATCCTTAAGTCTAGTTGCAGATGTTGGTTTTATACAACTGGACTAACAAAAGACAGTGTGGACAGTGTTTTTTACTGGAAAAGTCCAAATTCTAGAGTAAGGGAACCTCTCAACTTTCTGTTTACAATATGTGGAATTTGAGAATTTAAATGCTTTGTGAAGATAAGGAGGTCCACACTAGGTAAGCCACTGGAAATCTTTGATTGGGTTTTTATGCAAACATGGGAAGATAGAAAAATAATTTAATGAAGGCTCTTTCTTTGATTACATATGTGAATTCTCTTTTTCTTTTAGTGGCAAAGAGCAGTATGATACTCGCCGCTTCCCATTTTGTAAGTCTTTCATTTTCTGGTGGTGGTGGTTGTTACTGTTATTGTTATTGGGGGGAGGGGAGGTTATGTGCTCTTCCTTTTCCTTTGATGGAATGCAAATATAGCCAGTTTAAAGAGGGGAAGAGGCACAAATGTTCAGTTATTAGTCTCTTTCACCACCTTTCAGCACAGATGAGATATATTGTTGCCAGACTGAGTATATTTGTAAAGGATAAAATGGAGGTAGGGTATACCACCATTTTTGTTGTTTTAGAGGCAAGTGAGGAGACAATGCAAACACTTGACACCTTAATATAATCAACATTTGGGGAAATACAATTGGTAGCATAAAGGAGCATCTAGCAAAATGACTCTGTCTCAGGCCTTGTCTCTTGGAGGAGTAGCTAAGCATTCTGTTATATGTTGCTACTTGTGCTGTGGCGACAGTGGTGGGACTAGGTGAGCCGCACAGACGCTGAGCATCTTATCAATGTCCACCTGAGTAGACTTGTCTACTTCAGCCTTTGCTGCAGCTCCCGAAGTGGCATTTGTCGGAATTCTCAGCTCTTTTCCTTTGTCTTCTGCAACAAAAAAATAGTCAATAAGAGTCATTGTCCTGTCCCATGAACAGGTATGCAGAAGCAGTGTGATAGCGGACCAGTGGCTTTCTGAGCCCACAATGGAAGCTCTTGGAATTCTTTGACTAAAAATAAACAGGGAGTTCTGGACATCACATAAAATAGCAGGTTCACCTGTTTCATTGGTCTCTCAGCTCCAAGTTCAGCTGAACCCATTGTTCTACTCCAGCCCTTGTTGTGGTATTGGATTTGTGAAGAAGGAGCATGTGAAGCTCCCTTTTTTGTTCCCAACCTGTTACCTTTGAGTGGAGTTATTCTTGCTTCCAATGGGCCTGTCTTATTCTCTAGAGCAGAATGCACTTCCAGCAGAGGCAGGTCACACTGTTTGTCTGAGGGGCTGTTCATCTCTGGGTTATCATAGTTGATATATTGGTATAAGGGACGCAGACGCTGTGACTTTCCTACAAATAATGACAGTGAATGCTGGAAGATAGATGGCTTCTAAGGCAAAGGCTGTTGGTGAGATGAGAATGATACACACACACACACACACACACACACACACGTGTACGTTCTACCTAAACCTCAGCCCATTCTTTTCTTGCAGATGATGGTCTGCCCCTCTACACCTTGCTTCTATCTGCAGCTACCCCAGCAAACAGCCAGGCTTCTTGGTTCATATCATTGATGGAGCAGTAAGAACTTGTGAGGGTTCTTTTTCTGCCCCTTGAGAATGAACTGATGTCTTCCTAAATATAGCACAAGGACTTGGGAAGCAGAATTTCCATTCCCCCTATATTGAAATGTAGTTGAAGAAGAAGTTATTAAAAGTTCAAGCAGACACACAGCTGCCTGTTTCTGGTGCCTGTTTGTGCACTTTTCAAGAAGTGCTGGGAATTAAGGATGATTTGGGATCATGGGGCTAAAGTTAGAAGTAATATCCATCCTGCTTGGAGGCCAGCTCGGAAGGAGTTCCTAGTGTTTTGAAAAGCTGCAGCTAACTGTCCCCTTTTTCTATGTAAGATACATATATAGCTTTTAAGGGACTGCTACTTCTTCAACTCTAAGCCCACCAGCCTGTGCTGGTGATTGTCAGTATTAGCTGTGGGAAATATGATCGTTCTGTACAAGCCAGTCATTCTCACTGTAGATATCACTAAGTTGAAACTAGTATCTCAGATGCATCCAATCTCTCTCTTCCCCCACCAGGAATCTGATACTGAAAAAACCTAGCTTGTAACTTCCCATTTCTTTGCACTCACTCTCTACACCTGTAGGCTCTGGAAGCAATGTGCCTGCTGTGCTAGCAGCTGGGACCACAGTGATATCTAGTGTGCTTTTCCTTTTCTTGGATTTCTTGGACTGTTTGGGCACGAGAGAACCTTCAGTTTTGGGGCCCTCTGTCTCCTCCACCCTTGGAGAGAGCTTCTTGAAATCGGCATGTTGGAAAACAAGCATTTCAGAATCGGTTCTGTGGGGGAGAAACAAGATGCAAGAGGGCTGAGGAGTCAAAGGGAAAGGGGTCTGGTTCCAGTGAGTGTCCCACAATCCAGTACAGGCCTTGGGCTCCATTTGCTAGAACAGTGGGAAACTTTGGCTCCACAGACCAACTTTGGCAGGTAGATGGGACAGTCATCATAATGTCAGGGAAAGGCCAAGAATGATCAGAGGGGCATGGAAGGGATGGTGTGGTGGTGCTGTTGCCACCAGCATCTTCCCCCTGAATTAGCTGCCTCCCTTGCAATGCCAGGCAGCATTATCAGTGCTAGGACTACCAGCAAAAATGTTCACTGGGCAGCATTCGGAACATAGATGGGAGGGAGGTATTTATGAAGCTGCCTTATAGTGGCCATTGCTCCATCTTGCCCAGTGCCAGGTATCCAGCACAATTGTGCAGAGGTTTCTTTCAGTTCTGCTTTCTGACATCCTTAAACATTTAACTTTAGATGCATTTAATTTGAGATAAAAACTGAACCCAGTTCCTTCTCCCATGTGCTCTGCTTCTTTGCCATGGGAAATATATGGAAATCCATCGTGACCTACTTCATCATTCTTGCTTTAAAGCCATAGGTTGCTAGCCAGGCCTGGAGCACAGGAACGGATTTCAGATGCCTGAGTTCTGTAAACAGCTCTTGGTGCCTCTGGATCTCTTCCTCAAACAACTTGGCATGGAGAAGAATCCCTTTCCCATCTTCATGCCACTGTGGGAAGATGCACATAGTCGTCAGAGAAGGCCAATGGCAAGAACAAAAGCCTGGTTTTATGATCCCTCCAGACCACAAGAAGGGGAAACTTCCAGCAATTCATATTAAGCAAGTCATCTGCCACCTTTGGGCACCACATCTCTTTAAGTTCTATAAGAGAGGGAAGTGTTTTCAGAATAGATCATGGTTGTCATAGGGCAAAAGTGGGGAACCTGTGGCCTTCCAGATCAGGCCCAGCACCATCACTGGGCCAGTATGTGCAGTGTCCAGGGGCCTCAGCCATGCCACTATTCTCCCTCTTGCTGGATCCACCTCACTGAGCCCCCCTCTGGAAATCTGAACTAGTCCTGTTACAGATTACGTTTGGACTACAGTTCTGACCTCAGACCACTGGGCATGCTGGCTGAGGCTGCTGGGAGCCAGAGTCCACTAACATCTGGATGGTCAGGGTTGGGTTTTTTTAGCCCAGTGTTATAGTAAACACAAACCACCCTGCACCCCTGAACAAAATTTGGAGAACTCTAGCGAGGTAGCATCACTGGAGAGAACAATGGGTTTCTGATTCTGAAAGGCACAACTTGCTTCTTGCAGTGGAAGAAAAATTTCAGTGGCACCATATCACAGAGAGAAAGGCTCCAGATCCTAATGAGGCTGTTAAAAAACCTTTAAAATCCCAGACCCGGGCACATTTAACGTCATATTCTGATGTTGCAGGGATTGGCTGCCTAGAAAAGGCATATAATTATATTTTTTTTAAGGGCAAACCCAATGGGGTGACCCTGGAGTAATTCTTTTGGGGGAACAAAGGGCCATTATTGGGAGGGTTTAATGATCATTTTCGTGTGTTACCATCCTTGGTCAGGCAGTTATGAGCAGGTAAGTTCTTGTCTCAGCACTGCTAGGTGGAACACTGAATCCCTCTGAGCTATGGCCCCTTGCCTCAGCAGCGAGGCATCTGCTTTGCATGCAGAAGATCCCTAGTTCAATCCCTGCCATCTTCAGCTAGGACTGGGAATGTCTCAATAAAAACTTAGGGAAGCTGCTGCCAGTCAGTGTAGGCTCTGTTAAACTAGATGGACCAATGACCTGACTCCTATGTTCCTATGGAATATCTTTGTAGGGCTGCTGCTGCTTGTTAATTCCCTGAAGCCGTTCTTAACAGAGGCAGCATGGTGCTTCATGTGGGTAGCTGACAAACATCCACAGCCCTGAGAGGTAGGTCAGGCTAAGAGACTGTGATTGGCCCAAGGTCAGCCAGGGAGCTTCATCTCTGAGTGGGAGGATGTGAACCCTCATTTCCCAGGTCCAAGTCCAACACTAACCACCGCACTATACCTAACATGCTTCTCTCCAGACATTTCTGCAACATGATCTTCACTTTCCCCTGCTTTACGAGCCTGTGGTATGTCCTCAGCATCTGTAAACAGGATATCCTGTGCTATCTGCTTTGCCTTCTTTTTCTCATGACTACAGCACTCATCCTTTACCTCCAGTGACTTGATGGTGGGGTTGTCCAGGGCTGCAGCCAGCTGGAACAGGAAATGAGGAGGCGCTGCCTTCCCACCTGTTTTCTTGTCATTGGGGATCCGTGCAGAACCAGCCATTGACTGCAATGGAAGAAAGATCAGAAATCACACATCTGACACAAGCCTCTGCTTATGTTCAGTTTAGATTTTGGATTCTACTGCTTTTAATATGTAGGGTTTTGTGTGCGTTTTTTAAAAAAAATACATTTTAATCATTTTCTAAAATCAGACTTTTGATTTTGTATTGTAAGCTGCCCTGGCGATCTGTCTGAAGGGTGCAATATAAATTTCTATAATGCTATCCTATTCTAACCTTTACAATGGGGTAGCAAACCTATGGCTCCCCAGATGTTTGACTCCAACCTCCATCAGCCCCAGCTAGCATGGCCACTGGTCAGGGATGATGGGAGCTGTAGTTCAACATCTGGAGGACCACAGGCTCACTGCACCTACTTTACACCAACTCTTAAGACTGGATAATAAAATACACCTATCTATTCATACTGGATTTTTTTATCAGAGTGTGGACTCTTCTGTAACCAAATGGAGTCAATTATGAAATTCTAAAGCTTGTAGAAATAAACAAACAAATGGGGGGGGGACTAAAGCGAGGGAGAGCATTGAGTGGTGGTTATAAATACCGCAACTTTAACTGGCACCTGAGCAGGCTTTCCCCTCTCCTCCCTCATCCCTCTTTCTTTGTGTGGCATGTCTTTTAGATTGTACAGGTGAGGGTAGAAACAGCCTTCTTGCTGTTGTTCTTGTAAACTGCTCTTTTATAGTCAAACACTGGGGTAAAGGGTGCTGTAAACAAGTAAATGTTGTAAGCTGGAAGAGGGCATGCAGGCTGGCTGGAACCTTGTACAGGAGCACTCTTGCAGCCCTGTTATTCCAGCTTTTTGGGGTGGTGAGGCTAACAAATTTCATCTTGCCTAAGGCCACCCAATGAGTAAATGGAAGAGGCAATAATTTAACTGAATTGCAGCTCTGTCTCTTTTCCCTCTGCCTTCCTCAGGTGCTCTTATTATTTTGCACTCGCATTCTGAGTGCAAGAAAGACAGGTAATGAGGATTTAACACCTGCACCAATTTCTGTAGCACTGACCGAGTCTCAGAGAAGGATTGTTCAATAATTCTGGCATCCTATCATTCTAATAACATTTCCTGTAGCCTTTGATGTCGGCAGCACTCTGCAGTGGATGGCAGGCCTCTTGTTTTAGTCCTTGATATGCCACAAGGATAGGCAGTTTCTCCCTCATCCAGATCTGCCCTTAAAATTAACTAACAGATGCTCCTTCCTTCCTCCCTTAACTGAAGCACTCCCACAGGGAATTTTGTTCCATGCTAAGGATGTCAACAAGGTCACCGCTTTTTTCATCTCTTGGCTGCATCATGAGTCACAGAGGTCTGATGGAATCTTAAAGCCTGAAATCCTAAATCTCATCAAAATCTTAGCTTTAAAAGTGTTTTCCCCTCCTTCCTCGTTTTCTGTTGGCCCATAGCTCTGAGAAAGATATAAGCTAAAGATGGGATGTAGTCAGGGGACAGAAGAATCACTGTCATTTCTGCATATAAAAAGCTGATGATTCCTGAGCACTGTTTCTTTTCTCTGTGGTCCATGAGACCATTTTTGTGAATGAAACATGTACACCACATCATATACCTTTTATAATATCCAAAGACCTTCTGTTCAAATTCCCCTCTACTGAAAACACCCTGGGGACTATCATTCAAATGGAGGACTTGAACTTGGTGAATCTGGGCAGTTTGCACTCAGTGGTAAAATAAGTATGTGGCCCCCACCAAGGCTGTGGTACTCTTGTCTAGACAAGAGTGAGCTCTTATAGGGGACAGTCTGCTCTGTCTTGTGGTGACCAGTAGGCCCCTACAAGTATTGCTCTGCTTTTCCTTCATACCAGTTGCTAGGCTACACAAGGACTGTAGCATTCTGTTCATTCCATTGGTGGTTGGTTGGTAGGCTGGCTGGCTGGCTGGCAATGGTCATGTTTTGTGTACCCACTAGTGATGCTTGCTGTGCAAACCATCTTGCTTAATGGATATAAATATCTTCTGTTTTCCAAACAGCTTAATGGATATTAATTTGTCTCTTAGATATGGCATAGTGGCATAGCACATGAGCTACAAATGTCAGGAGACCAACAGAGAGACCAACTGGCTCCATCCATTGGCCAGTGAAGCTGCCATTGGTTAAGTGTTTGCTTTCCTCTCCCCTCCTCATTCCTTTTGCCTTACCTATCACATCTATAATTAGACTACGAGTCTGCAGGGAGGGACTATATTATTTTTAAAATAATGTTACAGCACCTAGAGGTGTTCATAAATAATAGGAAGAATAACATAAGAAGATATTTGTCAGATGAAAGCCCCATCTACTCGTCTAGCATACAGTTTTCAGAAGCCAACAAACAGAAGGTGAGTGCAATACCACTCTACTGTTTCCCAAGCAACTGGTGGGAAGCAAACTTCTCACTGGCATCTGGTTGGCCACTATCAGAGGATGCTGGGCCAGAGATTTAAAAAAATTAACTGAGTTGTTGCCACCACCAAGAATACCCTTTCCTAAACCTTATAACTCTGGAAAAAATATGATGGGATATGTGTGTGTAAAAGCATAAAAACAAACACTTTTAATTCTTTTTCCAAGCTGCTTAAAGTTGAGCTTTTCATCATTATTATTAACTACCTTTATAGCAGGAGTTGTTTGGAAGGCTCACAAATCAATAAAATACAACATCAAGATACCATATAAAACAATGGAAACTGTAGCAAATTAATTAATTGGTCCCTCTTATCAGTCCCTCCATTCTACTATGTCTGGCTCACAGATCTAGGATAGCTTTTTATCTCGGGTGCTTATCAGTAACCTATATATTATCTGTTGCGGATGAAAGGAGGAGCTCGGCGACATTTGGTAGCATCGAAATTCTCCTGCTGGCGAAGCAAGCATTTGCTCACCCGCGGTCGGTACTCCGAGAAACAATGCGGGCGCCGCTTGCCAGAGATACGCAGCGCTCGTTCTCCCCAGCGCTATTTCGTGGAGGCTCGAGAACTACACTTCCCAGGAGCCTCTGCTCTTCGTCCAACCTGCGACAGGAAGCGCCTGTTGCTTAGAGACAGGAGGCGGGGAGTACAACTGCCAGGGATTTGACTCCCGCGCCGCTTCTTCGGAGAGAGCCGCCCAGTGCCGCTGGGCAGAGGAGACCAGAAATGTGAGTGGGGGGCTGCGAAAGGGGCGGAGCAGCATGTGGGCTCTCGGGCTTAGCCGCTCTGAGGAAACAGGGTGCCGGACTAAGGGGGCCTTCGGTCTGATTGGGCAGCGCTCGCTGTGAAAAGGCGGGGGGGGGCTGTGAAAACATTCGCGTGGCGTGGAAAGTGCATGGGGAGAAGTTGCTCTCCTTCCCCCTCGCAGTGCCAGCGACAGGGGTCCTCCGAGGAAGCCGAGCGGAGGGAGATTCGAGACAAGACAAAAGGAAGAACTAACGTGCTCAGCGCATAATTCAACTTTCAGGGATCAGGCCAAATGCCCATCTTAGTTCGGTATCCTGTTCTCACAGTGGCCACGGGAAGCTCAGCAGGCAGGACCTGAGCCCAACAGCGCCCTTCCCACCTGTGGCTCCCAGCGACTGGCCTTCAGAAGCACCTGGAAGAAGAGCTATGGTCTTTGTGGCTAGGAGCCATTGATATCCTTACCCTCATTTCCCTAATCTCTGTTAAAGAGGTGGAATTTGCTGTCAGGAGTCAGTGGCCACCAGTTTAGACAGCTCCAAAAGGTTATTAGTGGCTCCTCCCATTGACAACTTTATATTATTTCTGCCATCAGAAGCAGCATGCTTCTCTGAATACCAGATGCTGAGGAGAGTGAGCTTGTTGCACTCAAGTCGTGCTTGTGGGCTTCTTCTGGGAATCTGGTTGTCCACTGTGGAAACAGAATTATGGACTTGGTGGTCCTTTGGTCCGATCTACCAGAGTTGCTCTTAAAAGAGGAAAGGAGGGTAGATCATTTAAAACATTTCCACCTTTCATCAAGAGGATTCCAAGGTGGCATACAAACATGTGAACAAAACTACCCATAGTGTCCTAATGAGCATCATGGCTTGGTGAAGATTTGAATCTGTCTCCCATCCCAACCCCCAAGTCTTAGGCTCCATCTGCACTATACATTTAAAGCAGTAACATACCATTTTAAACAGCCATGGCTTTCCCCCAAAGAAAGCTGGGAAGTATAGTCTGTAAAAGAGTTGTTGGAAGACCCCTGTACCCCTCACAGAGCTGTAGTTCCCAGAGTTCTCTGGGAAGAGGGGCTGACAGTGAAATCACTGAATTGTAGCTCTGTGCGTGGAATAGAGGGTCTCCTAGTAACTCTCAGCACTCTTATCAAACTACAGTTCCCAGGATTTGTTTCGGGAAGCCATGACTGTTTAAAGTGGTTTGATACTGCTTTAAATGTATAGTGCAGATGGGGGCCTAGTTTGACATTCTAATTGCTACATCCATGGTAGCTCTTTTTAAAATTATGCCTTAACTGTGAAGGGAGGCTAAGGGTGCATTCTTGCTTTATGGATTTAACCTGGATTTGATGACCATGGACACTGTATTTTGAAAAAGGACTGAAGTCCACCCATCTCTGACTTAAAGGGTCATATGAGATGATACTTGTGGAGGGAGCGTGTTATATTTGGGAAGAAATGGAATAGACTAGCTTATGAACTCTTTAGCAATCTCAGTCTTTTATTCCCACCTGATAGGCACCCAGGATCAATTTGTGCAACCATTTTGGTTGTGACTAGTTGCTTTCCTTTTCTTATCTGTATTGGTCTGTTCTTGTGGCAAACGATCTGCCTGAACCATTGGAAACTGCTCTTTTCATTAATGACTATATGGCTTCCATATATGAGTTCAGGACTGGCATACAAAACTGCAGTTTTTCTTTGTGGCAAAAGATTCAGGCAGCCTTTTTCCCGTCAAGTGTGCCCTAATGCAGGCATCACGTGTGAATCAGTCTGGATATTATGTAATTTGGGACTTGGGGAGCAACAGATCATGAGTCCTTCTGCCCCAGTTGTACCAAAATGGGCTTTTGTCATGTTGCAATTGCCTTCCCAGCTACTTCCCAGGCTTGAACCAATTGCCCCTTAATTGCACTGCAAGAATCGATCCTAAAGTCCTCCTTTCCCTCAGTTTTAGGCTGCTGCAGTTTCCCTGATGTAGGGCAAACGAGCCTTTCCAGCAGCTTGTTTGTACTTGGCTCCTAACAGCCGTTTGCCCTCCAAGCCAACAGAATAAACACATTCTCTGTGCTGTGCCTGGAATGAAGCCAATAGTGTCCTGCTAAGCGCTCTCCCCCCCCCCCTTTTAATGGAGGTGTGAGGAAGGCATTTGGCTTCCTATATATGAAGCAAGCTTGGCTACGGTTGTTGTTTAGCTTCAGCCATCCCTTCTCTACAGAAACAGCAACAGTCTGCTTGAGTGTATCTTACCTAGGTGCTGAGGGAGGATAGTCAATGTGTAAAATGTGCTCTGGGAGCATCCTGAGGTGAGCGTTGGGAAGGTGATGGGAGGCAGATGGCTGCTCGAGAGGTTTTTTCCCCCCTTGCCGCCTTTTTGCCCGCTTGACTGCGCTGACAGCTTTGTGATGTCTGGCACTGTGCTTCAGCCGTGATGGTTGCACCTGTTTTGAGTGGGCAGAATTCCAGGGTTCTGTGTGTAGCTTTGGGGTGTGATGGAGGTGTCACTGTCTGTTTGGAGGTGCATAGGAAACATTTTGGGGGTGAGATCCATGGTAGGAAGATAAAGCCAGATGTTTCCCTTGCTAGCTGGCACTGAAACAGAGGCTCCACTTAATGGTGATAACCCAGAGACTTGGGTTCTGTACAGCTCCCTTTACCAGAAACACTTGGCAGCGCTGAGGCCTATTTTACTGTTGCTTTTCAAAGATATTCGCACGTGTTGTATAAGCAATTATATCTGTGTCTGAAAACATGTAAAAACAAACAAACAATGCAACTGGTAATTCAACACCAAGCTTTTAACATAGTTGAGAAAACAAACTGATTTGTCCGTTAGTATTGCTGTGTTGCCTCTCTGAATGCTTCAGGCTAAAACCAGACTGTAACTGATACATCATAGTGATAGCTGAGTACTGTACTTCTATCCAGTAAAATAAAAGATACTTGAATTAAAAACAGGAAAATGTGACAGAATAAAAATAAAAGGCAAGCTAAAAATAACTCCACAATAGCAATCAAATAGCAGCAATTAAACTTTGAGAATACAAAATTTAAAACTCCAGGAGATACTTTTATTCTTTTTATATCTCAAAATACATGAACATTATATGCTCAAGTATTTCGAGGGGGAAAAGAATAATTAAAAAACAAAAACAAAACTCCAACAGAGAACCTTTCATACTCTTGGCACCACTACTGAAAAAGCCCTGTCTCCCCTAATCTCAAGGGTGGCTGGCACAAAGATCAAGCCTTCCAAAGTTGATGACAGAAGCCAGGCTGATTCATAAGGAGCCACCTCCTTGAGGAGGACATTCACCTGGTTCCTGCATTATTTTTACAGTGTTGAATTAAAACATTTTTGTTCTCTCAAGCATTTTAATAGTTTGTATTTTAAGTACTGGGAGGATGCTGTATTTGTAAACCCTGGTAATGAAAGCTTTTACTCCACCCTTTTAACTGCTATTTAATTCTGTTTATTGTTTTTGTTTATATACCATAGGCTGAAATCTTATACACCCTTGGATTAAGTATGGCTTACCTGCCTTACTTCTGAGTAGACTTATATAGGGTTGTACTGTATTGTTTTAGTCTGCATTGTAAACTCTTTTGGAATCATTATTATGAGAGATTGCAAATGGTGATCATAAGTTGTTGCTACTGAAAGCCTTAACCTCCGTAAATTTGTCTTTTAAAGCCGTCCAAGTTGGTGGCCACCACTATATCTTGTGGTAGCGAATTCTATGGCTTAACCATGTCTGTGCTGGGACTACTAGAAGAACTTCCTTCTGAAGTTGCACCCAGAAAAAATATACTTATCATACGGGGGATTCATTATCAATCTAGACACCATATTCGGAACCAGTTGTGCTTCCTGCTTTTTATAGGCACTTCCATCTATACTCCCATGCCCTTCTGCCAGCAGGTGAAGACTTTCTTATTCCAACAGCCTTTGGGGAACTGACTCATTTTAAGGAAAGAACTGGGGTTGTGATGTATTCTATTATAACTGTATATTTTAATAGATCACATATATAGTTAGTTAGTTTTAATTCTATTAATGTTTCATTGTTTTTTAAATTCTGCCTCTTGCCTCATGTTTTTAGCTGTTTCTAATTTATCTGTAAGCAGCTGTATTTATCTCTCGGGAAAAGGCGGGACAGAAATAAATGTGTGCTTTATTGCAGTAGTTAACATGTATGACATGATAATAGTAGCAATGTTTCTAAGACTAGCATGATGTGGGAGATGTGAAATAAAACCAACACTGAGGATATAATGCTGTTTAGTTCCTTGCAGCAGCTTCCCTACAGTTTCCTGTTCTTCCAGATAAATTGGCCATGCTTTGCCAGTGACTTTGAAGGAGGAAGAACTAAGGAAAGTGAGATCTTGCGGTTCTTGATTCCTGGTCTGGAGCTGAGGCTGAGATGTCAGAGGGGCCCTCCAGGATTACAGGGCCCATTCCCCCTGATCCCTCCCTTTGTCCCGATTACTACAGGCGTCCCCTATCAGGTGAGTGTGCTGTGTGATCCTGGGGTACCCTGGTAATCTCAGTGCATAATCAGTTTTCCTTTTCACCTCTGGAAAAGAGAAGGATCCATATTTTTCTCTATAATGGGTAGAATCCTCTAAGCACTCACTAGCCCTTGCTGACGACTTCAGCTTGTTGGACTGCAACTCCCATTACCCCTGGCCATTGGCTGTGCTGGCTGGAGCTGATGGGAGCTCAGTGGCATCAGGTTCTGCACCCCTAATAAAGGACCTTTAAGAGAGCAGTATCAAGCAGCTACTTGATACTTGAGGTTGAGCTGGAGCAGGCTGGGGAGGACACTGGTCAGGAATGGTTTGGTCTAGAAAAAGTGCTAATTTAGGGTGACAGAATGTGTAAATTCTCGTTCTGTTAGGAAAATAGGACCATAGGAAACTTCTTTTTCCCAAGTCAGATCATTTGTCCTTATACCCCAGTATTGTCTATTCTGGCCTGCAGCAGCTCTTCAGGGTCCTGGGCCCGGGGTCTTTCCTATCGCCTCCTTTTAACTGGAAGTGTTCAGAGATTTGACCTGAGAGCATCTGCATTAACTTTATCTCTGAGCTGCAGTCTTTCTCGACTCTCTTTTTCCATCTTTAGCACGAGGGAGACTGGAAGGGAACTCTCTGAAGCTGGATCTGCTGCCCGGCCCCATTCCTCCAGAATGCAGCCTCTACCCTGAATGCTACAGTGCCCGCCTTGCTCACCCTCCTCCACGGATTAAGCCAAATGCCAAGGACATTCTAGAGATGGGAAAGAAGGGCACAGTGGGAGCTCTCCTGCAGCTGGATGGGATCTCCTTCTTCCAGGAGGTGACACCTAAGCGTAAGTGTGGTCGCAACATAGGGACAGATGCCAGCCTGCTGTTGACAGCATTAGGGGTGGTGTAGCCGTTAAGAGTATTTGACTGGGACTCAGAAGACCCCGATTCAGATCTACACTCAGCCATGAAGCTCACTGGGTGACCTTCAGGCCAGCCACTGTTTTTCAACCTAACCATCTTAACAGTGGTTAAAGTGGGTTTCTTCACCTACAGCAGTGATAGGCCATGTGGCTATCTCCCATCATGCCTGATGGGATGGGATGATGGAGGCTAGGACTGATGGGAGTTGCAGTCAACAACATTTGGAGGGCAACACTTTGGCTACCTCTGACCTGTGGTGTAATCCTGGCTGTACAACCTCTGTAACACGGAGAGAAATATGAGTTCTTGTCTCTCTCCACAAGTTACAGGTGAGCTGTCTATTTGTTTTTTTTTACAAGGAAAACATAAGGAAGTTCAAGGGAGAGAGGCTTTTGTGCCTGTAGCTCAAGGATTGTAGGGCAATGTTTTCTTTCTCTTGCCAATGCAGGCAAAGATCACAAGGACTATGAGAAGGAAAATCTGAGGCGCATGCGAGAGATTCAGCGGAAATGCAGAGAGAAGGAGCAGGCTCGGGAGCTCAGCCAACCAAAGCCCGTGAAGGCCCTGTGGAAGTCTCAGAAGTATGAGAGTGTGGAGTCTAAAGTCAAAGCAAAGCTGCAGGTATTTCTACTACTGCTTATTGGCAATACATTTTACATGCAGTCTCTCTTTCTGTCTGCTGAGAGGAAAGTGATGTAGGCAGTGAACAAAGAAGAAACAGACGGGATTGTGCTGATGGCACTCTCTCAAAATTCCAACTGTGCCCACAGATCTGAGAATATTGGCAACCCCTGTCTGATGTCCCAGTTTAAAACAACGTAGGTGGTGGTCATCAGGAACAGGTGCAATAGACTATGCTGAAGGTTGATCAGTGATGTTCTCTGGGTTCTTCAGTCTACACCCGTCTGTGACTGTGCAGTAATTCTTCCTCCTGTTTTCCTCTTTCCTAGGAGAGTCCTAGTCCTCCAAATCCAGAGCATCAGAGATACTTGAGAGCCTATTCGCGCTGCGGTGCAGGAATTCGTCCATGCAGGTCACCGTCTCCAAACCCTGCCCAGTCTGGAGCAACAGCAGATGCAGCAGCTGCAGAATCACAGAATGGGAGTGTCAAGGTGGGGGGCGGGGAGATGCCCACCGGTGCTGATGCAGTCTGCTTTATACTTCCGTTTCCTCATGAGTGGTTAGTGCTTTAGCCGACCTCCTCCCAGCCTCTCCATTCCAGGGGTGCAGTAAATGATGGAGCTCTGTGGTGACCCAAGGCAGAGGGAGGGACCCTTTTTGCAGTTGCGCATCAGGTTGACTGCCAGCACTTCCAAGCACTCTTGGAATGTTCTCTGTGACCCCCAAATTATTTTGTTTCTTTGATCTGATGGGGGGAATATTCCCTCCCCCTGCCACAAAGACGTGATCCATGCTTTCAAAGTTGGCTAGGGTCTAGGAGAAATTAAACCAAACCTGTCCCTAGTCTATAGAAAATGTTTCCTGACACCCAAAGCTCTTTGCCTTCCAGCTCTTTGCCCTTCTCTTTACAGAACCAGGAGGAGAGTCAAGGGGTGGACTTTGTCAGCCACAACGCCCGGAACGCCAAACGGGCTCAGCTGCGGCGCTCACGCTCCTTGCAGTCACTGACCGAAGTGCTGGAGCAGAAACGCAAGGATCAGGAAGAGTACAATGCTAAGCAGAAAGGCCATGTCCCCCACTAGTAGGTATCCAACTCACCCCTGACCCATCTGGCTTCAGTATTTATTTGTTTAAAATACTGCTATCCATGCTTTTCTGTGTTACAACAGGCCTCCAAGGCTACTTGCAAGAAAATAAAATTAATACCCAATAAATATAAGGTTGAAAAATAGAAGTAAAGAAATCAATGTTCAACCTTTCTACAAGACTGCAAAGTGGTGGTCACAGGTTTGAATAACCCTTCCCTTCCCATAGAAAACTAGCATGTCAAGGAGAAAGCTAAGTGAGAGCTATTCTCCCTGACATAGTAGCCTTACATATGCGGTGAGTTCATTTTTAAATGGAGAGTTTTCAGTCATGTGATCCACCACCTGCAGTCTGAAATGGCAGGAACAGATTTACCATCTCGGACACAGCAGTCTGTCTGGCATAAGCACCAGAAATAAGTTTGGGAGCATTCTGCCGATGTGCAGGACTGCCATATGAGCATGATGGCATCTCATATCAGCTGCTGAATTTAGTTTTCCCAGAATCTCTGCTTTATTTTTTCGAGGAAGTTTCTAGCCCCTTTTGTTTGTGATTTGAAATAAATAAAACAGTATCCTGAATTGGAGATTCTGCCATTCTGGATGGATAAAATGGGTGGGGTCACAACTCTTCATAAAGATATAGAAGGGAATACTTACTTCTGGGTGCAGCTCTGTTCTTGGATTCCCAGGTGGTGTCTGCACCATAGAATGCTTTTATTGGCTTGGACTGATTGGCCAGCTATACTCACTGCTGAAAATGACCTGGCTATTCCTCATTCATGCCTTGATAACTTTGGGATTAGACTACAGCAATGTGCTCTTTGTGGGGCTGCCCTTGAAGACAATTCAAAAACTTCTAATGATTTGGAATATCTCCACGCAGTTGGTGAGAGGCACAAGTCTGGGTGGCCATGTTATGCCTGTGTTTGAAACCCCTCCTCCTGGAGTTTCATTTCTGAGAGGCTGGATTGATGGCCCTGACTGCAGTAAACACCACATCTGTTCCCGCCTCCTGTCCCAACTGCTCTTCTAGCTGTTTCTTTACCACTTAATTGGTTTGTAGGACCCCGAGGGGAGAGACGTGAGGCTAGGTCAGGCTCTGTTCCTTGAAGTCTGAGGTGCTGTTTCCTCCTAGCTTTCTCTGCCATTCTTTCCTCACCTTAACCGCTATGCTCTTTCTGCTGTGATTTAGCCTGATTGAGAGGAAGGACCACTGGCGCAAAGAGGCAGAGGAGCGCCAGCGCAACATGCCTGACCCCTCCATGCCACCTGGCCACACCATGATGCCAGAGAGCCAGCGGTTGGAGACGCTCAACAACCTCAAACAAAGTAAGGAGGGCGGAACGCAAGACATGTGAAGCTGCTTCGTGCCGGGTCGGCCCAGGACGGTCTAGTTCAGGGATGTGGAACCTGCCACCTTCTAAATGTCTTTGGACTCTGGCTCCCACCACCCCCAGCCAGGGTGGCCAATGGGCAGCGATGATGGGAGGTTTAATCCAGCAACATCTGGAGGGCCACATGGCCCCCCCACACCTGGCAGAGGCTCTATGGTCTTCTACTAAGTCATGTTGTTGTCCATCTCGCTGTATATCTAGCTCAGTCTTATCTGCACTGACTGAATTGAGCAGGCATCCTTAACTGTAAGCTGGTCACTCTTCCTCTTCTCTCTTAGGCCAAGAACGCTTCCTGAAAGACCTCCTGCTGCTTCCAGTGCGAACTGACACCCTCAGCGTCCAGAACAGACGTGCCACCCTGGAGAATAAGCTTTCGCAGATCGAGGAGGCACTCAAAATATTCTCTCGGCCCAAAGTCTTTATCAAGCTGGACTCCTAGGCAGAGGCAAGATGCTCCCTTTCCCAGCCTTCTCTTCTGGACTGCAATGGAGAGGAAAGGTCTCTCTTTCCTTCCTTGCTCTTTCACTCAGCCAGAAATCCTCTTCCCCCTCTCAGCCATCCTTGCTGGCTGACTCGGTGATGCAAGCTTCTGCCCCACACTTGTGTGGCTGACCACTCTCTGGTGCTTGCTCTTGGCACCCAGCCTTTCAGGAGCTGGGATGCAACAGAGGTCTCAATCATACCTGTCTGCTTGTCTTGCTTCACACCCAAGGGCAGGGAGAATCTGTGGCCTACCAAAAGTTGCTGAACTTTGATTTCCATCTGAACACAGCCCGGCCAGTGTTCAAGGGTGATGAATGTTGTAGTTCAAACTGCATCTGGAAGGCCACAGGTTCCCCTTCCTTGTTCTTCAGGCAAAAGGAGTGTTGCCAAAAAGGAGATGGGATGGTTGGTGGCGGAGGGGAGAGAGAGAGGTGCTTGGTCTCAGAGGAATCTGGCCATTGTGAGATCTGTAAATCCTCTGTAGCCACAGCTTGAATTTGCAGAGATGCCCCTCTGGGAAGAGTGCATTGAGGAGCTCTAACAGTACAGCAGGACTGAGCAGGCACCCTGGGCATTGTTCTGCTTTTTTGCAAGACGGTTCAGGTAGACGCATTGGCTGGACAAGCGGCCAGTGCTCAGAGGGATAGGTGTTCAATTTTAACTTAAATAGTTGGGTAGGTTTTTAAATAAATAAATAAATAAACTTTTGAAAGCACTTGTCACAGAACAGAGGCGGAAACTGGGTGCCTTCACAAGCACTCTGGAAGATTATTTAAATGGCTGAGGGATTATTTTTAATTTACAGATATATGGTGAATGCATCCTCCATTTGGATGATACATCGTACAAACACAGCAAGTCTCTGCTCCTCAGAACTGCAGGCAAGGATGAATCATAGGAGCACCTGCTTTGCATAAACAGAAGGCCCCTCTGGCACCTCCACCTAAATGGGTCAGGAGGGGATGAGAGAGACCCTGTGCTGAGAGTGTGCAGAGAAAGGGATTGTTGGACGTGGAGTCTTACCTAACAGAAGCCTGTATAAGGATCCATAGTTGGATAAGAAGTTCAGTATTAGGAAGGATGCTAAGTAGGCCCAGCAAGATTCAAACAGTCATAGGCTCATGTGAAGTGGAATTCAAGTGCCTGTTTCTTTTTTTAATATAATTAATCTGAAAAGCTGCACTTGATTCTGCGTCATGGAAAAGCTGCTGCTGCCTTTTACACTAACACAAAGCTAAGGTAGAGGAGATGGGGCTGCTGCTTATGTTTTGCTGCCTTTCAGGCTTGTCCTTCATTTCTAAAGGACCCTGGAGCCAAGTGGCACTGAAGTCATAGGAAGGGCAAAGATAATCCATATCTTTTAAGAGCTGGCAGGATTGAGCAGCATAGCAGGGTTGGAAAGGGTTAATAAGGTTAACAGGCAATCTAGTTCTGCCACCCCAGAACAACAACAACCCAAACCAAACCCTGGACAGGGTTGCAGTGAAGGGTGATGGACAGCAGTAGCAGGATTGATTGCCTCCCCGTGGGGTAGTCGGAGTATATAAAACATTTCCTCCCCTCTGGAAATGACAGACAAGTGTTATTTCGGCTGTGCAAACTCTCCTAGCCAGTTTTTTTTTGGGGGTGGGGGTAATGGTCCAAAGCCCTGACAGCTTTGTACTGTCTTCAAGTGTTCACCTTTCCATGCAAAAATTGTAGTTTCAGGCACCTAGAAGAGTTACCTCGACTGACAAAGCAGAGAAAAGCTTGGTTAGTTTTCTGTGGACCTTGTGCTTGTTAGGGCACCAGTAACAGGTTATATTATGTGGGAAGCAGGCATGCTGTGGCCCTGATACAGGACTGCAGGTTGACCAGTTGACCATCTGTTAACTCAGTCACTACCCTTGAGAAGAGGTAGATTTGGATGGGAGGCTCACAGTGCATGGAGATTCGCAATTTAACCCTTCTGTATCTGCAGACCTGACACAAAAGCAGATTCCTTACAAAGCAATCGGGCTTGGAAACAATCTTCAAATTGATTTAAGATATCACTGCATCAAGTGGGTGCTGCAGCACAGAATAACCCTTTACATCCCAATTTCAACCCCTCCCTGCTTGGCAACAGCTTCCAAGTGGGAGTGAATGGTGGGTCACGGACCCTCATTTAGAGTTCTTAAATCCCAGAGACTTTCACGTGGCTGGCTGGTTGTAAACATGGCCTGCAGTGACTCTCTACAGGTAAATTACTGCACCGTGTTTAAGGCCAACAGTGGGAACGAAGAGATGCCCTGAACCCTGTACCTGGCCACTGCTGTCCTCTGCTGGTGGACCCCAGTAATTGTACAAGATAATGATTCACAGCAAATCAAGGTATTAGGCTGCGAAACGTCTCTCCTGAGGTGGAAGCAGCTGCTGTTGGCTAGTTTGCCATGATTTAAGATCCCCTACTACAGACTATGAGCATCTTAGCTGGTCAGACTTAAAATGAACAAAACAAGAGAAGACTACCTTCCTTCAATTTAGAATGGTAAATTAAACATCTCCCTAAAAACCATTTCAGTGCAGATGATCCTGACCTGGTAGAAATGCAGCTGGGATGAATGGGTGATTTGTTAGAGATGCTTCTATTTCCTTTCGTCAGTTGGTTTTTGTAGGAGAAAAATGAAAGCGATGTGGAAGGATATTATGCTTGAAACCTTTTCTTTTTCATTAATGGAGAGGCAGGTGCCAAGGGCTCAGGCAAGAGATCTAGCAAGAAGCTGGACACCTTGCAAAGCCAGATCAAGTCAGTATACTGAGGGCCACAGAGCTCAGTGCGTTGGCACATGTCTTAATTCCTGATGATGCTCCCCTCCCACTGACGGACATATACAGTCACTGCTATCAGCAGGTATCTAAAACATCCTGGGAGAATTCAAATTAGCATATAATATTTGCATAAGCCACATCATCATGCAGATTTCTTTGTGTTCACTATCTTGAAGGTTGAAATAAGCACTTAACACCATTTTGGTTTGCCAGCGTATAGAATTCTTGCACGCAGTAGGAATGAGCAAGGGGCCAGCTAGGCATACACCTTGCCAAGAGATGGACTAGTCCAAAGCTCTCCAACCTTTCAGGCCCAAGACCTGCTTTTGAATCTGTGTGTGTTAGAAACATGTTCAGCTATCTTCTCCCTTTTATCTTTCCAACTAGTTAGAAGGGTGAAAACATTTCTCCCCATCTTTCTGCTTATATTTTAATTAAGGAATGGCCATACCTCAGTGGGAGAGCATCTGCTTTCCATGCAGGGGGTCCCTAGTTCAGTCACCAGCATCTCCCAGTAGGGCTTAGAGAGAACCCTGCCTGAAACCCTGGAGGAGCCACTGCCAGTCACTGTAGGCAATAGATGGACCAGTGGTCTGACTAAGTCTAATGCAGCTTCCTATGTTCTTCATTTAAAAACAAAAACAAAACCCTTAACAGAAAACAGCAGCTATGCTTCAGGTGCAACTCAGTTTCAGATCCTGATCCAGCAGTTGATCTGGCCAGTCAGCTAAACATCTATCCACCCAAGTCAGACAACAAAAAGCCAAATTGCCTCAGTCACATTTCCCTTGCTGCCCTACCAGTCCCAATGGGTCCCAGCATCCTATTGAGCAGAATAATGCATCTTGCATGTTTGGGACCACCCTGCTCAATTTCACCACCACAGGCACCAGAGCTTCCTCATCATGCTTGACCAGCACACTTCTAAAAATCATGTGAATGCACATTTCTTTAAAAAAAGTTTTAATAGTTTGTTGCAATATATTAATCTGTGATGCATGTTATCGTAAAAACAAATAACTAAAAACAAACACTTCATGAGAGCTGACAGTTGGTGGAGGGGAGAACCAGAGACTGTGAGAGAGGCAAGAGCATCCCTGCCTTTTTCCTTCTACCTGCCCAGAATGAAGACAGGGGCTGAAGAGAGGGAATGGAGAAGGTAGTAGAACTCCCATTGCTTTGGCTCAATGGGGAGCAAGAAAGAACCTCTTGGGTGGCTAAGGACTGGGAGGAAAGTGGCTTGGCCCCAAGTGCTCCAAACCCCAGCTGCCACCTTTGCTCCAGCAGCTGCGGAGAGAGTGCCACTGGGTCTGCAGGCAATGAGCAAGAGAGAGTCTGTGGTTGCAGGTCTGGGCAGTGTCTTGGGTCGAGACGGGGCCCCCAGTTCCAGCTCCATTGGCCAGGAAGAAGGTACTGCCAGACTGACTGTGGAAACGCTGAAATTCAGAAGACAAGGGAGGGGCACTGCCTGGGGCTATAGCGTGATGACCGTGCCATCCTCCCGGAGGCTGCCTGCTCGGCTGCCCCGGATTGGGCTGCCACTGCCGCTGTGACTGTTCAGGGAGGGCAGCGAACCCTGGGAGCTGTAGAGGGACAGGCTGTGCTGCAAGCTCTCCAGGAGGCCGCCATTGGGGCAGCTGGCAGGCAAATCACTCTCAATCACCAGGTCACCCTCTTCGTCACTCTCGCCCTCTGCTGTGCTGCAGTTGCTCAGGTACTGGGAGGCCGGGCTAGGTGTCTGCTGGCTGGGGGTGCTGTCCGTGGACACGCCAGAGCTGCCCGAGGCCTTGCTGCTGCGGATCACGTTGTTGCGCTGGTTGGCCGGCTTGACGGTGATGATGAGGTTGTGGCTGTTGGCCACCATCATGTCCGTGACCTGGTCCAGCGACTTGCCTGCCACGTCGATGCCGTTGACTTCCAGGATCTCGTCATTCACGGCCAGCAGCCCCGTGCTTTCCGCCAGGCCCCCCTTGACCAAGCGGGAGATGAAGATGCCAGGCACCTTCTCAACCCCGTGGGGTGCCACGCGCACGCTGACCCCATCCCGGATGTAGAAGCCAAGGGGCTTGTTGGAGCCGTGCTTGTGCAGCCGCACCCGCCGGTGGGTCTCGGGCAGAATGTCCACATCGATGATGGAGGAGATCTGGCGGAAGTCCTGCGGCATGCCAATCAGCAAGTGCGGCTTGGCCCGCTGGTGCACAGGGCGAAGAAGCCCCTTCTTCTTCCGCTGCAGCGAGTTGGAGGCGAAGACGCTGGTGTCGGCTTCCGCTGCAAGGAGGAAAGAAAGCAAAGCAAGCACAGATCAGATGGGCAGGTCTCCACTGCTCAAGCCCACCCCTTGTTCCCCAGGTGTCAATTATCAATTTCATTGAGATTCTACTAGCCACCATATTCTACCTCCGCTGTCAAGTATTGGTATGCCTTTGAATACCACTTGCTGGGAATCACAGGCAGGGAGAGGGCTGTTGTGCTCATGTCCTGCTTGTGGGCTTCCCATAGATAATATGCTGGCCACCGTGAGAACAGGATGATGGACTAGATGGGCATGTGGTCAGATCCAGCAGCCTCTTCTTATGTTCCTAGTCCTCTCTTTTTCCCCTGTGCACCCATCCTGACTTCAACACAAATCAAGGACCATCTCTATTATTAATAGTGCTTTAGGAACACACCCCTTCCACCCGCCATGATCAGTTTTGCAGCATTACCAAGCCCAGCGCTTCTTGTGCAGGACTGCAAAACCTGGCTGTGCAACAGGCCCTCCTGCTCCCAGATTTCCCCAGAAATGCCCATGAAAGGGGACAAAGACTAGCTTTCAACCGTTTCCCCCTGACTGATATGAGTGTGGTGCATGAGCTATTTAACTTAATGAACCTAACTGAGTCTCGTTCATTTCAGTGGTTCTACTCTGAGTAAAACTCTGCTGAATACCACCCATTGTCTGGTAAGCTCACTGAAACACTATATATCTTACGTTACGAGAATATGGAGCAGAAATATCCATGTTGGGGTTATGATTGTTTGCTTATGGCTCAGAATGAGTTACAAGTAAAATAAAATAAAAACTAGGGAAAAATAATTTTGCCCCAATGCACCACAGACACTTAACACTGAGCTGCTGAGTTTAGCATGGCACCCAGGACAAACACCCAGCTCATCCCCTGTTTTGTTCATATCCATAGTTCCTTTCTTCGTTGCTCTTCCAAACACATTATTGATTTGCTTGAATATTTTTATCCCTACTTTCCAACTCTTTAGGACCCCCAAGTTGTCTAGATGATCACAGACACTGTCAGCTACTGCAGAGGTGGTTGCCAGGCACTATAAATTTCTCTCTCTCATACCAAAGAAGGCTTTTCAACCAAACCTGTCTGCGTTTAGCCAGCTGATCTGTATCCCTTGGGAGCTGCTGGTTCTCTCACAACCTTGGAATTTTTGAGACACTGAATGTTTCAGCATCATGGGAGTTAACAATGTTGCATGACAGGAGAAACATTTCCGGTTTACAACATCTGAATGCAAAAGTGTCTTTTTGGCTGGGGAGGAGGGGGGAAGTGGGACACCACTGTTTTGTGGTAGTGGTTTATATATAAACCCTGTGAGCAAGGAGCAGCACCAGAAATAACACAGGTTGAGACCCCAGTGTGCATTACAGAGAATGACTGTATTTCCATTGAAATGTGAATGGCTCTTACGGCATTCCTTTTGTACTGCTCCCTATTGCCAGGGATGTGGGGTGGAGGAAAGGGGGGCTGACAGCAAAGGGGGTAAGTTGATCACACTTGGGCCCTGACAGATCATGACCGTGAGTGATGTGCCACTCCCTTGTATTATAACGCCACATCATTAGGCACCAGAAGGCACAGCCAATGCAAAATGCTGAGCAGGTCTCATTCTGCTTAGCAGTTCTGACTCCCTCCTCGCACACTTCTCTACCCAGGTCAGATCCTGACCCATGCCTAGATAGATGTACCTGCCAGTGCTGGAGAGGGAAGAGGAACTCAGCCCCTTCTGGGATTACCCACTGTATGCCAGGCTGGGATTAAAGGGGATATGAATAATTCAGTTTTAATCACACTTTGAGCTGTACTCTGCAGACTTAACTCTGTCTCTGCCAGCTCAGGCTCTGGTGTTCTCCTGCAGCAAAATCAAAATAAAGGCTGTTCCAACAGCCAGACCCTAGAGCGGAACCTGCCAGTTTCCATGAGGTGCCCACATCTGAATTCCAGGGGAATTCATTAGGAGTAACTGGGACTCAGAACACACTGGCACAAATCAGAATTGGCTCTGAAGATCTGGTGCTGGGAGGTAGTGGGAGAAAGAGACAGGAAGACCAAGGCAGAGACCTTGTCCTCTTGCTAATTCCATATGCTAATTTATCAAATGCATGTTAATCTAAATTGGTTTCAGTGGAGTAAACAGACCATCACGCACATACACAGAGCAGGAACCTGATATAAAATACTTGGGTTTATTATTTAAGAAGTCCCAAATGCTAAATCTAGTAAAAATGCATTTAAAGATTGAATAAACTGGAGGAGAGGAGAAATATGTCTTTTTAATCACCCAGTTTTGACCCTGCAGCAGGAATGGGGACCTTCCAGGTAATGCTCACTACATCTCTTGCCATGCCTGGTCATTGGCCGTGTGGGGTGAGGCTGATGGGATCTGGAGGGCCACCGATTCCCTATTCCTGCCCTAGAGAGTAAGCAGAGACTCTTAAGAGCTCTCTCTTCTGCACTGTGAGAAGCATATCATGAATGTCCTCTGTGCAGTCGGCAAGGAGAGGGCTTCAAATGACCTCTTATCAGTTTGTCACTACAGAAAGGCAAAAGGCATTGTTATCTCAAGATAATATGACTTGAGAGGACAGGCA